CCCACCATCTCCCCACGCGAACGCCCGCCGTGTCCCTTTGTATGATTTTTTTAAAACTTCTCTTCCTCCCATCTCCCCACCCAAACCCCCAGTGACTGGTGGTTGCCTGCTCCCCAAGGTCTCCTGGTGGTTGCCCGCTCCCCAAGGTCTCCCGGCCTTCCTGCAGGCAGGGAGGACACATCTGCTAACACCATCGGCAGGCGGCTGTGCGCATCAGACTGCTCCTACAGAAGCAGATGAAGGCGGTTGCTCCTCTTGCTCCAGCCCGGCAGCCTGGGACCCGGCTCTCCGGCTTGCGGGGCTGGGGTGGACCCCAACCTGCCGGCCCTGAGGGCGTGGATCCCTGTGCATGGCATGGATACCCGCGCAAGGCCCTGAGACTCACCGGCAGCCCCCGAAACCCTTGCAGAGGGGTGCATCCCGAACGCCTCCTGGCCCCTGAAGCAAAGCTGAGGCAGTGCTGATCGTGGGCCGTATATGGGCAAGGCAGACCCAGATCTGGGAGAGCATAAGCTTAGTATTTATCTCTACAAAGTGACTCAAGGCATTTCTGTGCAGCACGCCGCTTCCTGGACTGGTGTGTTTATACCGCACGGAATAAACATACCCCTTAGGCACTTGAACCAATGTCTGCCACATCCCGGGATGATGCTCTTGATGGCTTGCCAAGTAAGAAAGCTCTGCCCTTTCCATCGTTCTCGGAGGATGTTGATGTGCACTGATGACGTCTGTGCCACTGGGCCTGGCAGAGGAGGTTTGGGAGCTTTGCTGGGCGTGATGAAGCCTCTGGTGCTGTGAACAGCAGGATGTGGGTGCTGGTGGCCTCTGTGTTCCTCTGAAACCGAAATGGCCCTTGCAGACTCCCATGCTTCCCGCCTCACATGCTCTGAAGCAGCTTGTGCTCCCAAGCAGGATTTTGCCCATAGACATGGACATATCAGACCAAATTTGCCATTAGCAAATTTGTAAACACTGAGGTGTTTACAATTAAGCAGGTATTAATGTATTTGCAACACTGGACCCTTAGAATGGTAAATGCTTTTGCCAAATATGTTTAAAGAAGCTACGAGACAACTCTTAATATTGCTTGCAGTTTACACCAGCGATCAAACTGATGTCTGATGGTATGGCCTGAAATATGGGCACTGAATAGAAGATAGATTTTGAAACTGTCCTATAAAACACATACAGGTTCTGCGTCTTTTCATATGGATGTTTCATAAGATCCTTTTTTGTATACTGTTGCAAGTGGAACATCAACACTTGTCTTATAGTATTAATAGTACTTAATAATAGGATTAGGATAGGAAACATAAGACAATGTTTTCTTGTAGGCTTCCATTAAAAAGCCTACAGTGAAATATAAGCTCTCCCCTTAAAATCCCAAGAACATCCTCAGTACCTTATGCTATCCAATATAGGTCAGATTTTGAGCCTAAATTATTTAAGCCTAAATTATTTGGCAGATATCATCTCATATCACAGCTGCGGAAAAAATTTGGGATAAAAAGGAATTAAAATCCTTCCTGCTGGCAAGCTCATCAAATAAGCCAAGGGATAAATGGGCATGGAATCCTAGCTAGGCTTGCTGCAAACAATTCTCTAGAACCCAAGATTGGATTTTAAAAAATAAATGGTTTTTTTTCATTCTTTCCTTGTAAAAACATCTGTAGGATGTAAATCGTCCCACTGAGTCAGCGCAGGATGAAGCAGAACAGAAGCCAGCCTCCATAGCTTAGTGGGTTGCTAACTTCAAAGCTGAATTTAGTGGTTTGAATGTTGCTGCTTTTAATGCTGGGGAGCTTTCATCTACGTTTGACAAGCGAACTAGCTCACAGTGTATGAGTACAGTGGGCATGTTGCTGTGTTTCAAGGAGTCTGCCGCTAAAACAGATGGTTGGCACATCAGCATCATTTCCACAAATGGCAGCGGCTGGGTACAACCCCGAGCAACCCTTTCTCCCTGTTATCCTGCAACGAGGGAATCCCTGCAGCGAGGGGACGGAGGGAGCCCGAGCTCCGTTTTGACTGGAGATGCTCCTAAGCCATACACAGGGATGCTGTTTTGGAGAAAGGCTGGACTCATCACGGTGCTGCTGCACAGCAGCTTCAAGTTCTGGGCTGAAGCACTCCCCAATCTTAACAGCTGCAACCCCCCCGGACAAACGGGAAGGCAGGTAGTTTGGCATTTACAACAACGTTATTGCACAAATGTACAGCGTTATTCTGAATCTTCAGTACTCAACTCATGCTCGTTTTGCTCCTGGAGCTCCTGCCCTACCTTAAAGGAAGCCCTGGGCTGTGTGGATACATGTCAGAGCAGTCAGGGGTTGCTGGAATAAGTAGCTGGTCTGGAGTGGGCCAAGCCTGCAAGACCTCTTTCCAATATTACGTGGGGAATAGAGTCACCAGTCACCAGGATTTTTCTACATGCAAAAACTGCAGGATTTGGTCTAAGCATCTGATATGAGACAGCATTTTAAAGTACATATGTGGGCTGGGTGTTATATTTTTTGCAAAATCATGGCCCAAAATCAAGCAAAGATAAACAGGTCATGAATATATTTAGGCTGGGAACCAGAAGAACAGCCTTCTAGTTGGAGGAACTGCTAGTATTAAGATAAGGCACCAGAAATTTCTGTACACATTTTTCCAGCTTAAGCGGGGTGTGGATGGGGATCCAAGAGACCTCACTGGGGACCAGGCTCCCTCTGGAAGCCTGGGAGGATGATGAGTAAGTACAACGTGCATCCAGAGCTTACTGCCCCCTCTCTCCTCCTGCATCCCAAACCCGCGAGCCGGGTTTGACTCAAACTGCTGGCCCCACCAGTACAAACCTGCAATGGTTTTAATCTGCCTCCAGTTGGTTCCAGTTGGGAGTCCTGGTTTCTCCTGGCCACTGCTGAAGCGGAGTGGCCGTGTCCCGTGGATTCCTGGATTCCCAAGTGCTCACCCGTGGTGGGGGACACAATCCTCTGCTCTTGCTGCAGATTTCCAGTTACAGCAAAGTAACATGCTGAGCCCCAGGAGACGAACGCTGCCAACAGACCTCTGTGCTGATAACTGTGTTCCTTGGAAAATGACTCAGGCTCTCCTACGTGACACGAAATATTTAAAAAACATGGAGCTGATTGATTTAATCATATAGCTCTGCACTCGGGAGGGCCGTGTGCTCGTGTAATGAAAAATGTATGTGGTATTTACATGAGGATTTGTGAATGAATGAATCAAACCCTCTCCCCTGAACCATGTGGCACTGCACTACATGCCGTTATTAATAGATCAATAAATTTCATGGGAGTAGCTTGTACAATGTGTTTTCTGGAGAGGTCCCACTGGAGATCAGCACATCTAGCAGTGAGTTTGGTAAGAGCAGGGTGTGCAGCACAGCCCTGCCAGAGAAGGAAGAGCAGAAAGCCGTGGTGCCCAAGGGACGCGGGAGGAACATGCATTTTGGCTCAAAAATTCCTACAATAAACTTTGCTCGAGAGAAAGGAGCAAAGGAACTCCCCAGATCTCTCCCTTCCAAGAACCACCACTGCATGCTGGACTTGCTAAACCTATCCACGACTTCACAGCCTCCTTTCAAAAGTGTAAAGCCTTGTCCTTATGCTCTGTTCTGAACACCCGAATTGTCCCTGTCCCCTCCGAGGGGCTCTGCAGCGCATTGCTGCATGCAAGGCTGCCGGGGTGCGTGCTGCCTTTTTCACACGTGCAGGGGGCATCTGACCTTGGGAATGACCTACACAAAATGCCCAGCCCACTTAAATCCCCAAAATGGGACTTAAGCAAGACTTCAGTAATGCCTGGAATGAGTTTTCCTATGGTGAACTGAAGAGTGAAGCTGTGTTTCCAAAGCCAGCACTATAAATAGGCATTACTTACTGATCAGACCTTGGTTAAAAGGATTTCACTACAGAGAAGATGTTGCTCAGTCTCATGAAAAGGGCATGAATTAAGCCACCTTCAAAATATCTATTGCCGTAGAGGCAATACCACCGCAGAAGATTGTGAGGGGGAAGAATCTGATGTGCATTGCTCTATTTTTCGTGCTTTTGGTTCCTGCATTGCAGCCAGCTGTGTCCCCAGCACAGTTCCCTTTTTCTTTGAGCTCGTTGAACTTCCTACTTTCCTGCACAGCACCGTCTCTGTTACATGTGCAAGAGAGGAACCTTTGTGTAGTGGCAATTTTTTTTTTTTCCGAGCTGGAGATTTATACTCACGGCTAGACTTGCACAAACTTATTTCTTACGAAATTTTACAAATCAAGTGTAGAGAGTAGCTGGGTGTAGTGGGAGGCTGATGCACAGGGAGGACCGGGGGGGTCTGCAAGCTGAGAGCAGCGATCTGTGCTGTGAGAATGATTCAGCATGTACAGATGCTTAAGGATCAGGAAGCAAAAGAGTTGCGATGGTCTGTTATCAGAATTGTTTTGCATGACAGGCAATAAGGGAACCAGTCGTTGCTATTTTGGATGGACTAAAAGTGAACAGAAATGCTTATACCGTTGCTCTTTCAGATTTGTGTGCGATTTCAAATCCAGCCCCTGACCGGAGCAAACCCAAGCTGTGCTCTGAACCCGTTCCTCTGGGAAACCAGTTCACTGGCCCAGACGTCCTACTTACATCGCGTCACTGATGATATCTGAGCTATAATTTGAACAAAGCAAACATGAGCTGCCAGTCTCCCAGAAGGACTGATCTCTTCATGGGACAGCTTCTCTTCTGCTTTATTGCTCTGTGGGTTGTAACTCTAAGGGTAATTTCAGTGGCTTTTTGGAGATCATTGTGTAAAGCAGTCCTTGTGCTGAACAGAAATGTGGCAACAAAAATGGTTTAACTCTGCAAAAATCATAGATCGCTGGGTCTGGTACACATATGCCCCTGAGAGTCATTAGCCAAACTCCAGTGAAGTTATTAAATGGCTGCCGTGCTCTCAGGGAAGGCAGGATCAGCCCGTGGGGCTGAACGCTGCCCAGTGCGGTTCTGCAAACACGTTACCTTGAGCAGAACTGAACCTGCATACGGAAAACCTCTGGGAAGCTCCGGGGGTCCTTGCAGGTCTCAGATTTCTTCCTTACAGCAGAATAGTTCAAGTCTGAGGCTGCCTGCATATCATCAAATCAATACATGCATTTATCTGTCAAGAATGACTTGAACAAGAGACTGACAGGCATAATTACAAGAATTAATGGACTTCAGCAATTATCCATGTTTCTGCAATGTGGTGGTGGGGTAACAGCAAGCCAGGGGCTGGGTAGGAGCAGAGTTTCCAGGGCTGGATCAAGTACAGTGTATAAAGTTTATTTCACTTCAGCAACTTGCTCGGAGGAGCACTTCGCTCAGAGCTGACAAAACTATTTTTTGTTTTTCTAGCTATGGGATTGCCCTAACTATGAAATATGTGTCCCTGCCAGCCCCTCAAACACATCCTGCATGGAGATGCGGGGCATCAGCTGAAAATGCTGTTGGAAAAAGGCAAGAAGCAACATAAAAGAAAATAAAAGTCCAATAAATGAAGGTGAAATCTGTTGTGGTCTTGTGCAATGAGAGAAAAAAAAAAAATCTCTTTGTAGAAAAAAAGGAAGTGGAGGAGTTCATTATTTTTGGCAGGACTTCTGCACATTTTGCTTATCAAGGGTTCGTCACAGGGAGGGGATTATTTTATAGTCTCATAGAAGTTCCCTCCCTTCTTCAGTTCTCCCGATCCCAGGCTGCCTCCCTGCAGTCTGAGGGGCCTCTTTACAGGATTACATTTCCACTTCTTTTTTTTTTTTCTGGATGGGGTCTTTTTAAAAGACAGATTTATGCAGTTCACCATGTGTGTTCAGTGCTGCTCTGGGTATTGCTGCTCCTGCAGGTCAGTCCGAGCAAGGGACAGGCGCAGTGCTGGCTGGCTGGGACCGAAAGGGGAAGGCATCAGTCGTGGCCCTGATCCACTTTCCACGGCCGTGACCCAATGAATGTTTTGAGCTGGGATGAATCAGCCCTGCAGCCCTGCACCCCCCTTGCCCGTCCCCTCCTTGTGCCAGCTCCTGTGCGCTGTGTCCACATCGCAGCACTGACCGGACACGGGGCGTCTCCAGCGCAGCTGGTGCTGGGGATGGAGGTGCCGCTTTCTCCGTTAGACCCATTACCACCTGGGTATTCCAAGCATTTCTGAGCACGGACCTCCAGGACATTGATTCCCGGAATATCCACTGCCAGTGGGTAACTCACAAGCTGGGGCTTTGCTCCTCGGCGCAGAGCACGACTGAAGGGTTGAGCCCAAAGGAGCTTCTCCTGCTGAGCACAGCTTCTACTGCATGTTTTTTTTTTTGGGGGGGAAGCAGTTGCCACAGCAGTGCAAGTGAGATACAAGTTCCTGCTGCGACTCCAACCTGTCAACCCTCGCTCTGTTTTTCGGGGTCTGGCCTGGTGTTAATCAGAAGCTGCTGAGCGATGGGATTGAATGTGAGGAGGAAAAACCCATCAGCAAGGGACATGATCTCTGGCAAAGGGCTACAGTCCACCTGGGACACGGTGAAGGTAGGAGCGCGTTAACCCACATGCTCTGCACAACATATATCACCCCCGCTGCTCTGCCGAGGTTATTTGGAGACTGTCCTTCCACAGCCAGCCTGCTGCTAATGAAGATACCCCGTGGCATCCAACCAGCGCTGCAAAACTGCAGAGAAGGGGGGAAGATGAGAGCCGCCTAAATAATTTTTCAGCTTGGGAAGTTTAGCTGCTCTGAAATATT